CGAGCTGGAACTGGAACGGACGACCACGGTCGCGGCTCGAGTCGAACTTGGAGCCGTCGGTTAGCGTGCCCACGTAGTGAACGGACACGGTCTGGCCCGGCTTGGGGAAGTTGGTGCCGTCGCTGTTGTCACGGATGGGGAAATAAATTTATTAGACACTTTACGCATGGTTTGCACTGGAGTGGCGCTATGGGTTTAAGCTGGTCGTACCCGGCCTTGATGGTGTCAATCTGGAAGCCCATAGTGGTGGTTGGTCTCTGGTGTTTGGTGTCCAATGCGAGAGTGGGAGGAGCTCCACTTTTTTTAATTTGGGGATAGCCTAATTGGTACTGTCCATCTTGTCGTCGAAACCATGGTACACATGAAATGCTACAGGCTGATTAACTCATAGAGACAAGTTGGCCTAAATCACATCAAAGCATTCATCAGTTATTGAAAGGTATAAGTAAAGTTATGTCAGTATCAAAGAAAACCACTTTATTTCGTGTGGTCCACGTGAATAGCCGAAGTAACTCGTAAGTATGCCGAAAAAGTTCCACTTTTGACCCATTCGACTGCAGCCATGTAAGTAAAGTACTTTGTACAGAAAAATGCGCATTGGTTTCGGACCACTTTTGATTTTTTTTGTAAGGCAAGAGCTTTTTTTTTTCAGAAAAAGTGCTTTCTGGCTTCAACATTAACTGAGACGCTGGAAAAGCTCAATCTTGGTTCAGGCTATTACTTGTTGGTGCATTGCTCTTATTATGCGTATGTTGTACTGTGCTAAAATGTCGGTGGCTACACGCTGACAGGCGGAGCCAATTGCTGGGGGACGTCTACGTCCGTGCGGATGACACGAGGAGACGTAGCCGTGGTGGCAGTGGACATGTTACCGCCAGTGCCCGCGGGATTCTTCTCGATATCGTTATTGATAGCATTCGGGTCCAGGTTCACGCCCTCCTTAATGACGATGTTGCGGTGGCGCACCAGCACAATGGTGAAAGCCAGCTATAGAAAAGCAGTAACAAAGTCAGTAAAGGAAGTCGTTAAGAGCAGATGCAAAACCCAGGGCCCTGTACTTACGTAGCAGACGAACATGAAGAAGGAGAAAACCGAACCGGCTTCGTTCGAGTGCACGTTGGTGTGTTCATCACCCTTGGCGCGCTCGATGCGGGCCAGGTAGGCGGCACCCGCAAAGATAATTGACAGTGAGAACATCTGCAACGACATCATCAGCACGACGCCGATGAGGAAGCCCACAGCCAGCGGCGTCTGGTGTTTGCGCATGACCATCGTGCCTCCGACCGATAGCGCAATAATGAGGATCATTGCCCAGACGCCCACGAAGCCCAGCGACTTGGAGTCGCTCTCGCCTTCACCGTCGTTGTTGACAGCCGCGACGATGGCAGCAATCGCGTACATGAAGCCGAAGAGCATCGTGACGAACCACAGATACGTGATCAACATCTTCGGGTTATTGATGCACTTGCGTGCCTTGTTACTCGCGTCTTCCATGGCAGTGGGCATCTGAACAGGACGAGGTCAGCTGATGTAAAGTAAGATACAATAAACAAGTTAAACGACGCTGCCCACCTTGCTAACTGTCGAAGAGCAAAGAGCTACGTCGATCGGTAGAGCTTACCAGGAGCTGAGTTGGGAAATGAACGGTGAGAGTCACGGCCTTTCTTGGTTTCGATCTTGAGTCTAAGTGGCGTGTCGACGCTAAAAATATTATCTCAGTAACTATAAGAGTTGAGGCGATCAATTCGACGCACGTCCCATGCATGCGATCATGCTTTTGAGTTATTCCGAGCAGGCGTAGCCGTCAGCAGCCTCGGTGGATCGTGTTGCGATCGGTTTTCAGGTTTTCATGGGCCAGCGTATTTATAGTTGTTGGTGTAGTAATCGGATAAGATTGCGGTATGTTATTGTGGATAATTTTACGCAGAAAGCGTAAAAAAGCGGTCTGTTGCTCACAGAACATGGCTCATTCTTCAATTTAAAGCAGCGATCTTCTCGTCTGGGAGATCGAAGCCGATGGCAGCATCCAAGACACTGGAGCTTATCCACAGCATAGTTTGA